TTTTTTGGTAAATGGCTAGTAAAGATTTATCTAGCCATTTTATCTGAGAAAAAAATTTTTAACGAAAAACATTACCTGGACAAACAAAAAATGTCAAAAGACTTTCACTTACCTTACTACCATACTTTTGTCGCATAGAAATATACAATTCTCGAAATCGTCTGTATCTACGTAAAAGCGTCCAACTATCGTCCTGCGCCACAACACGTACCTCGTATTCGTAATGACTGGACGTACCAGCTCCGCGTATCACGTAAGAGGGTATACTGACGATTACGTTGATCACACTGTCGTGATCCGCGTCGTTTGCTATCAAAGACGGCAAAGACCTTGTGATTGTCAGGGAATACGGACTACTCAAACGATCACCTCTATTTTGACTCTAAAACAGGAAGACATGTCTATAATTTGAGTATCAGTTTCCAATTTATGGTATGCACGTCGCATTATAAATTACCGTTAAATACACCGTTGAATATCCTCTGCCGGATGATACTCGGGGCGCAACAGATTCTGATAAACTTTCCTCGCCGTTGGTATTATTAGGCCTGTGGTTCCTGAGAATCGGAGATCGTGTTGTGGCTACGGTCAACAACGTTGCCGAATTCGTCGTGGGGTGTACGTCACGACACGACGTTTCTACAGTTTGTGCAATGTCATTCGCCGTAATAATATCATCGGCCGCCAATCTGTCATCCAAGCCACACTGCGACGCAGACTGTTGCTTGAGATTCTTTCGTTCATCCTCCAGCAACGACACTTCCAATTCGATCTGTTGCTTCTGAAGATCCTGCAGGATCACGATTTGCTTGTTCAGATCTTCCTTCGATGGTGTGCTGGCCTCCAGGCACCTCATCACCATCATTCGTTGACGGGCGATTCTTTGGTTCAATCGTTTCATCGCTGGATTTCGTTGCACTGGCGATTCCAACGAGTCCTCCGGAATATCCGTGGAGTCCTCCGCAACGGAATTCGTCGGGGACTTTGTCTCGGTTTCTTTCTCACCGCTGGCGCTGCCATTACACTTTCCTGACTCGACGATGGCGATCGTATCTACTGAAGGTTCCCCGTTTAAGTTCAACAAACTTCTGCTCTCCGCTGCTTCGCGCAGTTTGGCCCGGTCGTTCTCCAAGTGAACCTCCGGAGAGGGTTTTTGTTGTTTGTCAGGTTCATTTTGTTTCGACGGTGACGTCTGCGACTCTTTCGTGTCGAAATCTTCGAACGGGATCCGAGGCACTGGCGAGTCGGCCGCCGCCGTGTGAAAAGTGTCCGTCGTGTCGATGGAACTTGGAACGTTTTGTGGCAGTAGGCTCAAGGCGGAAGCTATCTGAAGCTTTCTGTTGCATCCGTCCTGAAACGACTGAGTGTCTCCGTTGTGAAGAGCGTCGTCGCCGCTCAAGGAACGATCGCCTGGAAACGCAGGCAACGCACGCTTCAAATTTAACGAGAGATTCTGCTTTCTCCTCAGGATCTCCTGCAGCTGCTCCTGGCTACGTTTCGCCAGCAACAACTTCTTCTCTGTGTTTCCTTCTTCCTCGACCTAAAAAAAAAAAAAAAAATAGAAAAAAAGCAGAAACATTTAACGACAACGAAGAGAAGTAAGTTGTTGATCTCTAATTTTGAACAAAACTCCAACCTCCAGATTGAGCATGTGTTTTTGCTTTTTAGCTATCTCCATCAACTCCTCCTCCATCTTGTCCACCTTGCACTGGTGTTCGTTGAGGGACTTCACCTTGTTCTGCAACTCAGTTTCCAGGACAGCCAGCTCTTTTTTCTGGAAGGTAGATTCCCAGAGTTAAATCTTGATTATTGATTCTTTTTATGATGTAAATGTGACGATTGTAGGAACTGGACAAAGTATCTCATTTGATAATGATTTACAGAAAAGGAGTCGTTTAAAAAAAAGAGAGAGAGTCATAAGGGTTTGCCCTAGTTCCTAGAATTAACCCGCTCATGAAAATTATAATTAGATCTAATCTCAGAAATGGATGTAACTCCAGGTTCACTTACATGGTGATTAACGAGCTCTCTCACCGCGTCAACACATTTATCATCGTTTAAGCTCGACCAGGATTCTGGCAAGCTGCCGTCACTGCCAGCGCCGTCGTCCGTCTGAAACGGTACATTTTGCTTTCTGAACTGAAAAACAGTGAATCTCTGTTCCTACGTACGCTAGTACTTCATCACACCAATTTCCAACATAGTTGAAACGAAAGGAAACAGAGAAAGTAAAAGAAACGAATTAATGAAAACAACAACGACAATAACAACAAAAAAAAAAAAAGAAAAAAGAAAGAAAGAAATGAAAAATAAATAAGGACAAGATGCAAGGTCATGTATATGTTACATGCGATTACTGTTTAAAAAAAAATTCTTTCTTGCTTTCTTTTTTTTCTGCCGTTTGTTTCAGTAAGTTGCGTGCCATCATAAATACAGACTACGCGTGCCGCGCGTGTGCGTTATATGCCGTTATGCGTTTCCTTTTCTGTCTAGAGACTCTTACCTTCTCCCACCATTGATGAAATCTTTGAGCGCGTTCGTGATTGCTCATGAACTCTTGGAACTGACGATGCTTGGACTGCAATGTCGTGCGCAGAGAGGCAACTTCCCTACATAAATTTTCTACCTAGTACCACACACACACAGATATCGATGCATTAACAAAAAAAAGATAACTGAAAAAAAAAATATATATATATAGTTTGGACGCCTGTTCCACTCTTTTCCTTCCTTCCTGTCTTTTTAATTCGTATTTTTCTTTTTCTTTTAATTCCTTTTTTTTCTTTTGTATCTTTTCTCTTTTTTCTTTTTTTAATTGTAGGTTTAAACGAGAGGTGAAGTCTTTTCGTTTGGAATTTACACGTATGAAGTGATAACAGGTGAAAGATGATAGTTTTAAAAGTCGAGGATACTCTGTTATCTGTTTGTCGGAGAGAAGAACGACGTTGAATGGATAGAAATAAAAAAAGATAAATAAATAAAAGCATGCCACTGTTTTATGCACAAACGATAATAAACGTGAACTGGAGGAGACTACGTGAACGTTGTTGCAGAGATTTAGATTCAAAAGGATTCCAATGGAATGTAAAAAAGTAAAAAGTAAAAGTAGTAATTAATGGCAAAGGAAGGAGAAAACAGAAACGAGATGAGATAATCCCGATAAATACATTACCTTATGAAATTTCGGTTTGTTAGGTCTTTAAATCCCACATCAGCACTCGACAAAGTGCACGTGCGGACGTACCCCAACGAAATTGTTAACAAGATACAACACTGGGTTTGTTAATCGGGAGCGTTATAATCTCTCGACTGTGTACATATATAATGCTTGACAGAATATGTATGAGAGACATAGAATGCAGAAGTGTGCGTGCAAAGTATATCATATTGTGGAAGATCGAAGGCCAATTTTTGTAAGAAAAATTTATTAATCAACAGTATTCGTATATATGTATATAATAACAACAGTTCTTTCTTCTTTCTCGCATAACAAACCCATATATATATATATATATTTGTAAAGAGAGAGAAAGAGAGAAAGAGAGAGACGTTTCTACAAAAAAATAAGCCCAGATATGTACATAACACGTTCTTTCTTTTTTTTTTTTTTTTTTGCTTTTCTCTTTTACTCTGTCCATTGTAACAGTAGTCTACAAGGTACTTAATGTATAACATTCCACGGAATGCCACATTTGTCCGGCAATATCTCGTCAACACTGGCACTTTTATCGTTTCATATTCAGGCAGCTTATCGTCATTTAAGCTTCTCTATCTAACAACTTTCGCTATTAAAAAAATAGTAAGCGTTAAAACTCTCTACAGGCGAGACTGTCGTCTGCGTAAAATTAGGCGCAACTGGTATTAGAAACCCGTAATTGGAACCTGCTTGAAGACGGACAAGTATCATACAAAAGGAATACGAAATGTTTCTTTTATACATTAAAAAGAACGATTCAGTTATAGTATAATAACATCGGACAAATATTGCCCCATAATACAATTGTACAGTTTAGTTACATTATATTACAATTCAGGAGAAAATCCTGACATATATATATAAATATATATAGACGCCATTCGTTGCTTTGAAGCACCTTAAAAGCTTTTTTAATAAATTTCTAAGTCTACGATTAAACTGAAGTGAAAGAAAAGAAAAAAAAAAAGAAGAAAAAAAATACGTGATCATCGTCAATGATGATGATGATGATGATGATGATGGTGTAGCTCGTTCTTTCTATACCTGAACAGTTTTCGACGTTCAAGTACGCTTGCAAACACTTGACGAAGAACATGAATGCGACTCAATGAAAACATGTTCCCTAATACCTCTGCACATGTCTTTCGGGGTCACATGTTCAACGGGCAAACGTGCGAGTAGATGATGATGTTGCCAGACAAGCAAATAAGGACACCGAGAGCAATAAGGACGAGGTAGAATTGATACTTGATCGAGATTACGTTCAAGTCTGGAGACGGCGCGTCCGAGTCACTTACTTGCGTCATTTCGTCCCGCCGTTCTTGCTCCAGGATGTGACGTCGCGTACGTAACTCGCGCTGCCGAGATTCCAAAGTAGCTATCGCGTCCGCCCATTCTTTCCATTGGGCGCCCCATTCGCGTTCCAATTCGCGTTGCGCTCCCTCCAGTGCCTCTCTTCTCGCAGCCCATCTCTCTTCTCGTTCTTCCTGCTCCCTCTGTGTGAATCAATATAGAAAAGAAAAAGAAAAAAAGAAACTTTTTACTTTCAATACTTCTCATATTTCAAGAGGAATAGAAGAGGCGATATTTTTTTTATAATTCGAGTAATTTCCCAAAATTAGATTTTAGAGCGTTGATTAATCAGCGGACGAACCTTGAAGTCTTCTTTCTCCTTGATAAGGGCAGCCTTCTGCTGCTCCAGTTCTTCGAGCGCTCGGAGATCTTCACTCGAGTTTAAAAGATTATCGCTAGAGGACGAGGCATGCAAATCCGAGACACTCCAGCTCAAGAGCGACAGTCTTGAAAGATTGACGACCGTGGATTGTAAGTTACCATTACCCATTCCACCTTCCTTTCTTAGTTTCGCCGCTTCAGCTGGATCGTTATATCGGAACATATTGTTCCGGCCGAGAAGAATAATACAGCCCTGCGAGAGCCGCGTTGGCTTATCTACTTGGGCGGTGTTGATCCAGCAGTGGGAAGAAAGGGGATGAAGGGTTGCCACGCCACCGTCCAGCTCCACCACACAATGTTCTGGCTCGACGTCCGCGCCAGTCAATACAATATCCTGTTTGTTAAGTAGCGGATTATATCGTAGCCCATAAACACAGGTACATACGTAGGTATTCACAGTGTGGAACTTTTTGGACTTTGTGATCAGGAAATAAATGAAATTGTACATTGTTCTATATACCTGCGTGGTCGGTGCTTCTTCCGTTCCCACTAACGTTCTACCCTCTTTCAGGTGATAGAGCGTAACACCGGTGCTAAGAAGGTCATCATCGATTCCCACTAAATGCGGCATCTCCGAGTCTAGGACCACGCCAACGCCGCTTTTTCGAAGACCCAACGCTTTCTGCTCTTGAAGAATTTGCTGCGTTTCTCGCCACTTTTCCGTCCACTCTTCCGTCAATACTTTCTCTTGCTCTTGTTTCTCGTGAATCTGAGCCAACAGCACTTGCGGCGGTCTTTCAACGCTCTGCAACATATGTATTCAAGATTTCACTTTCCAATCAAATTCTTTCATAATTAAGTAAAAGGGAAAATTCGCTTCGTAAGACTTACGATATCCTTTTCAATAAGAGACTTCAACTTTTGTATTTCTTCCCTGAGTTCCCTGATTAACTTCACGTTCGGATCTTCGTTGATGGTGGGCTTGTTAATGATATTCTTCGCTCGGTTAGCGTACCTGAGCGTACTGAGAGTCTCGCCGTAATTGCAATCGGCCGGGCTGATAGCAGCGATCATAATCGTCTTGGAGTTACCTCCAAGCGAGTCCTTTAGCAACCACGTCAGCACACTGTCTCGATAAGGTATGAAGACATTACGCTTAGAGGAGGAAGACGCGTCGCCTGTGGAACTTAGTTCCGCGAGCGCCGATATCACAGAACCTAAAGTTACCAGTGACTTATTGATGTGCGCACCCTCTTTCAGTCGTTGGCCTGTCGCACCCGTTGCATTCGCACGCTCGCTAGACAAACATAAGCAAACAGATGCGAACTTAACATTTTACAACTGCGTCTTCGTTATACTTTTCAACGCGAGCAAAAGAGAATACTCGACATTTCTCTTGTGTGAAAAAATATTGAACTCTACGAGTCTTATGCTCGCGCCCTGAAAATTCGATTTCAAGAGAAAAATTATCCTCAAGATTAGACTACCTTCCGGCCAAGTCGACAAGATGCACCTTGGAGACGGTTTCCGACGGCATGTTGCCCTCGGATAGACCAGCTTGCACGAACGTGATGGTAAAAATCGCGTGGCTCCTGCTGCTCACATCGTTCATGTTTGTGCTCGCCGTAGTTCTGTGCGTATTACCTCTCACCATGCATTCCTACGAGAGCGGGCGAGCAACGTTTTATTTAAAAGCCGCCGGTGCAAGTCGCCGCGGCGGGACGAGCAGGAAGTGAAGGACGGGTTCGTTTACCTGAATGTCTGAATAATCGTACACGAGGTGGCTCGACAGGTCTTGAACATATGGCCCTCGTTTAGGATGTTCCCGCACACGGAGAGAATGAGACTGTGACTGGTCCAGTCTCAGCAGGTCCCTCACTCTCTCATTGTGTATTTCCAAGAAGGACACCTCGGTTCTATACGACGCTCCGCTCTCTTTACCAGCTGCCATTCTGGCGAACAACGTCTTACAAATCCGCGGTATCAATCCTTGAGCTTCCTGTAATTGAAAATAATGAAATTGTTGGATGTTAACGGTAAGATTGTTTTTTTTTTTTTTTTTTATGAAGAATTATGATTAATTGAGATGAGGAAAAGGTACCAAAAATTGAGGTGAAGGTACAAACGAATGTTTAATAAATGCTAATAATAATTAAAAGATTATATTTTAAGAACTTATTGAAATGTCAAAAAGATTAAATTTAGGGTACTATCCTTAATTTAAATATCCTAAAGGTATCCTAAAGGTATTATGCAGAGAAAGTCGGTAGTAAATAAATAAAATTCACAAATTGAAGGAAAGATAAAAAAACAAAGGATCTTCGGATCTTCTAAGAACTACGTGATCCCTAGAAGGCACGAGGATGCTACCTGAAGACTATAAATGACACACGGAAGTCAATTCAATTCTATGCGAACTATCGAACGAGTCGGTTTTGAAGTAAAAGTAAAATTTTATAGGAGATGATAAAAGTTTGTGTGACATTGACAATCTTTTTTTAAAAAAATCAAGGATGAAAATTGCATGAAATTGCACGAAGAGAGATGAAAGTAAAAGTAAAATTTCATAGGAGACGATAAAAGTGTGTATGACATTGACAATCTTTTTTTAAAAAAGATCAAGGATGAAAATAGTCCCTGTAGTAATTTATTACCGGTGTGCCCATCATAGTAAAGGTCTTCCCAGACCCTGTCTGGCCGTAGGCAAAGACGCAGGCATTGTAGCCCTCGAAGGCACTTTCTATTACGTCCGTACCAAGATCGTAGAAAACCTGAAATAGAAAGAGGATCAGCTACCCATTCTTATCACTCCCAACAAGTATAATCCAATAAGTTTCATGATAAATGAAAATAAGTGCTTCTTATTACGTATCTAATTCATCAATGATTCGCTTAGAAAGCAGTTTCAACGATTCACCAGAGGAATTAGGATGGTCGGTAATTATTACAAACATGTACATATATCTCGACTAGTTTTACAACTGATAAAATGTGAGATAAGAGATAAGTTGAATTTATCATTCATCACGGTGAGATAATAATTCACTGGATTGGAAATGTAAAATTTTCAACTAGAATCTCTTCTAATCCGTTCTTACGACAATGGGTTGCTATACCGGTGCATGCATACCGGTCTTCTATTTCAGTTCTGATCGTGGCTCATCGTCAAAACATTGCCCAATAGTGATTTCATGAATCGATCGATCGCAGTGATGTTTCATTGAAAAATAATAATCGATTCTTCATGAAAGGGAGATTATTCTTCATTGAAAAGAATTAAATTCTCACTTTAAACGAAACAAAAAAATTGTTCGACATGCTGCTTTTAGTGAGTTATTCAATTCAATGGCACACTCCGGTGAATCGATAAAATTCACGATACGTTTCAGAAAAAAAAAAAAAAGGAATATACACCTCTTCCTGGGACGCATAGTTGTCGTCGTTCGTGTCGAAGGACCAATAAGAATGATCGAACGTGAAGTCTTTGTATTTCTCCCTGTCGATTTCTCTGCAGCTACCCGGTGTCTGAAAATGATGTGTAAACAATCATGAATTTTTCAATTGATACAAGAAACTGGTAAAATCAATAATTATTCCATTTTATAAGAAAGGGGGAAAAAATACGTTTACGAGGCGTGTGCGATTAAATGAAAACAAACAAACATTTTTCAAAATTCCCAGATGTGACTAAAAATTACGACGAACTAATCAATAATTATTTCATTTTATAAAAAGGAAGGGAAAAAATATTTGCGTTCTCTGTGATGCGTGCGCTGAAATGACGCACGTCGAGAACTTTTTGTTCCAAAATTGCAATATTTCCTCAGTTTTAAGTATATTTAAGTATATTTAAGTACATAACCCAGGCAAAACAAATAATAAATTTATTATTCTTAAATAATTTTCTCCTCAATAATTTCTATCCAGTGATGTCGTACCGGCGAGTTCAAAAAGAAAGCAACGGATTGTTGTATACGGTTTGGTCACTCGTTATGGTCCGCAATCAGTTGCCAGCGCAAGTGGTTAAATTAACAAGACAGACTTTTCAAAATTTCCGAAAGAAACTGGCCGAGGACGAAGATCTTTTCGCTGTCCCTTCGACGCAATATCGAATTATAATTAATTGGTTACGTCGAAGAGAAATAATACTCAGACAGATTGACACGGGTCAAAAGCCGGTGCAACGATTGATGTCAAAGAAGCGCATCATTCACAAGTGGCTGGCAAACAGTAAGCCGTTATGTCACGTGCGTTCGTTAGGCTGCATCCGACATAAGTAAATAATCGTATGTTATCAAGAGCATTCCGCGCATTATGCAACACAAAGCGAATAGTCGGTAATTTAAAAGTAAAACTTCTATATCAGGATAAAGAGTGAAAGATGAGGGTCATCATTGTTCGAGAAAGAAATTTTCGTCCTTGAAAAAAAAAAAAAAAAAAATACTAAAATGGTTAAACCATCGTGCCGAGATCATCGATTTTGTTGCGACTTTGCGACTTCGTTGCTCCTTGTTTCGATATCTCGATGGATATACACTGCTCACAAAAATTGGGGGATATTTCAAAATGAATATGAAGCGATAAGAAAAAGAAGCATTTGATTTTTTTTATCGCTCTATATTCATTTTCAAATATCCCCTAATTTTTGCGAGCAGTATATTTCACGAGATACGACGTATTATCTTGGAAAGATTTCTATTTATTTGACTGCGGTTGTGTTAATTATGCGCATCATAAGTTACGTTGCATACGCTACGTTTTCATATGCTCGTTTTACCGCCAGGAAGTCTGTTTTATGATAATTAACTTGAGACGAAGGTTGATCGTTACAAATTACGTAAAAATTATTTTCCTTCTTAACACGGTACACAGAAGTGTACTTCGAACCGATAAAAAGGATTCTACGAAAATATAAAAGTCGTATTTTTAACGTTGAGTCATTGGGGGAGAGAAAGAAGGGAAAAATAACTAGAGATTCATGACTAGGCGGATGTTCATGCGTTTATGGTGATCTCAAAGGTGCAAAAATTAATGAACGAGATAGACACAGCTCACATACATGAACATCCGCGATCTATTCATAATACGCGAAGAGAATACAAATTCCTATTAATATCGTACCAATAAACCAAATTTACTCTAAAGCATTAACGAGGACGATATAATTGGCTCCGAAAGAGATAGATATCGCAATATTAGTCATCTTAAAATAAACAAAAGTCCGTTTAGATGCAACGTCTGTTATTTACTACAGTTAGAGACAGTAACCATACGTAATTGCAACATTACCAGAACGAAAGTCGAATTTCCGAGTAGAAATTAATATTAATTTTGCTAAAAAATTACGTATAATTGCGTATTCTTTACGCAACGCGTAATTCCGAAAACCAGAGAAATCTGAAATCTACGATTTCGACAGGTTTGGCAATTACAGCGTTAATGGCGCTATGGTCGTGTTTGTTTTGCGGTTAGTGTCGTCGGATGGAAACCAAGTTGGTCCGGGATTGGTCAGGCGATGATTTTCGCACTTTCTCCGATCAGATGACGTGCTGTTCGCTACCTTGGTTCTCGCTATCTCGGTCAAAGATTTCGCTCAATAAGCGTGGATATCAATGACGTAACGTTAAAACAAAACAAATATGCAGCCACCGGATGGCAAAAGGAAGAATTCTGCGCGCCCGCGAACAATATACGTCGCGGTCGTTGTGCGACGTGTTAATGGGTCAATAGCCGAGGTTCGTTCGACCAGAAATTATGACACGATTCAAGCTCCCAAGCGTTTTAACGGCGCGGCGTGGCGGTCAACGGTAGTTAAGAAAAAAGGAAAAAAAAAACCAAGTCTAGAAATCTTTTTAGAAAGTTGGCTCGTGTGCGACTATTAAGGATCAGCTTCAAGGAATTGCAGGGACTATACACACGAAAGCCCTGCACGATTAATCACCGGAACTAGAATCAGAATGACAAACTTTTTGTTTATTTACATGCACGTGTACTTTTGAAACATAATCAAGTTATACTGTTTTCATGTCGTTTGTGGGTGTAGTATTAACCTCGCTGGCGATTTTTGGACGCTTAAGTCCAAATCTAACTCCAAGTCTGTTTTTAAGTAAAGGAATTTTAGGATCTTCCAAAAATAAAAGTACACGATATCTTTTTGGAATAAAACAAACGCGAATAGACCGAGGATTAAAGAGGTTATAAAGGTTAATCTTAATAAATAGTAATATTTATCCTTCTTATTGCATGGGAAATTACTTAAGCACTATAAAATACCTTGGTGTTGAAAATCCGCGTTTTCTTGCCATCCATCTGCACGATCATCTTTGCATTCATCGCCAACTCCCTGGAATATAAATTCGACAGATTCACATCCATAGTCGTAGAACTGAACACTTAAAATTTTCACCAACGTTGCTATAAATCGTGCGACGCGGAAATGAAGAAAAAAAAAAGAAAAGAAGGAATAGTCGATGGAGAAAGACATCTCGATAACGAAAACATTAGAGGGAATGACAGCAGGTGGCAGAATCTTGTCGCCCAGTCGTCAGTCGCACCGTGGGTCGATCGAAACCATATGATTGATCGTCCCTTGGAACGAATTTCGCTGGAAGGTCAAACGTTCGCGAATTGCATCAAAGACACTATTCAAAGAGAATTTTGTCGTCCGAATAGTACACAGCAGGCCTTGACTGCGCTACTCAGCCAATCGCAAAAACCGCAATCTTCGGAGGAAAAGCAACGAGTAAAATCCGGAACGAGCGAAAAACGTGTCTGTATATAGAACGTGCAAGGAAAAATTTATGGTGGCAATAACTTGCGAGCACGTTGTATCACTGGTTGCATAGCACGCACCTTTTGTTAAAGGGACGAACTCTCACGGCTACCTTCACTGAAGCCATGGCTATAAGGAACGCATGGACTTTGTCGAGAGATGTGTTGTTGTTGTTGGTGTGCCGCGGTCTATCTTTCGTCACGTTTTCTTCTCCTTGGCTCGCGTTACGCGGACACGATGTATCTCGCGGCACTGCGTGGACAAGACATCGTCGACGGGCCCCGCCGTGCTGCGAAACGTCGTCGTCGTCGGCCCTCGCGCACAACAGACATCATCCTCAACACAGCCTCGACAGACGGACGACTGGCTGGCAGGCCGCTGTCCGAGGAAAAAAATTGCGTCCTTGCGCATGCGCGTGTACTTTGGGGGATCCCTAATTTCAAGCGATCGCCGCACGTTTGTGACCGCGCGGATGGAGGCGCACAGATGGGAACGCGAACATTGCAGAAAATAAAAAAGAAAAAAAAAGAAAAAATAGAATAGAAGAAGAAGCGAAGGAAACGTAAGAGAAAAGAGATAGAAGGGGAGAGAGAGAATGGCACGAAGAAAGACGAAGTGAATCGGAATACGAAACTGTAGAAAAAGAAAGGGAGACGGTCGAACAGGTTTTGTGTTCCCCTTCTACGGAATGTGACGTCAGAGTACTGGGGATCGGTATGGTAGAAACCGGTGGTGGAGAGTGAACGGAGAAGGCGAACCACCCACGCGACAAACCGAGACGTGAGCTAAATCAAACGCTGTTTTGCGGTTTCTGCGAGCGTGTAACAGCGGTTGTACCAAGAATTCATGTCGTTTTGTTATCCAGCTGGAGATTACGCGTCGTCGGTGGGCACGGATCCAGGACAAGAGTAGGATACCGTAGGCACCTGCCCACGATCGTAAATAGAAAATATGTCATAGGCGGCGCTGGTGTTCTTCGGAAGTGTGCTCCAATATGTACGCAGCAGTGCCGCGATAACTGGCCGGAATCTTGTCTCGTTAATTGACCGTTATTATCCCCACCCAGTTCTTTAAGCTATCCAAGTAGCTCTGTTATGCATTTACGTACATACATAGCTTTGTGTACCGAACATGTTTGTTTTCAGATGCATTGTTACTGTGGATATATTTTCTTTCTGACGAAAACACGATCACGTTAAAACAATCAAATAGTTTTAATCTTAGTCAACCAGTCTCAATGTATCTCATTTGTCAGAGTACGCGCGTACACTCTAATCAAGTGGTGACTTTAGAATCTCTAAACTTTATGTTAATCAATTCTTTTTTCCATTGAATTTTTCATTCTTATTTCGAGCTGGATAAAAAGATTTAATATATCTACAATCTTGTTTGCAGACATTAGAATACTTTAGATCAACAGTTCAAATATTTATGCATATTGAAAAATTTACGATTCAAAGATCTATGAATCTTGCAGCGGGGATATTGATGGTCAATTAACGGAACAAAATCCGGGCCAATTAAATTGTACGCACATTGCAGGTTAACGAACCTTTCGAAACTTTGGCACAATATCATAAAGGAAAATCATGGAGTATATCGTGTTATATTTCCGAGGGAGTGAGAGAGAGGTCTTATCGCATGTTGATGCAGTGTCGATTTAACTACCTGTCTGAAAACGGGTTCGGCAAGGTATAATTTGTCTCGCAATCTGTAACCGTCACCAGTATAAACAAATTTTCTTCTCTCTTTCCTGTCATGCATTATTCATTCACGGCTCTAAATTTGGAGCCTGTTGCATTTCCAAATGCATTTACGTAGCAGATCATTGATAGATCTCCGTGGACACGCGTAAGCAAACATAACTCGGTTCGTTGTTAATGACACGAGCGTGTCTATAAATACTATTTTATTTCTAGACGATGCGCGCGATATTGAAATAATATTTTATTGAACGAATAACGTAGAGAATGAATAACGTTATTATTTTTTATTACCTAGATTTTTTTAAACAATAAATTTACTATATAATTTCTTTAGAATAAATTTTTATGGCCCAACTTGTCGTGTCATTGCTTTTTAGAGTATGTTAAAAGTCGTGATTGATGATTAAGTTCGTATTAAGGAAAGGACACTCGAATTCTGCTGCGGTAATTATAAAACCGGCACTTAATATCAAGAACCGCGGCCTGATCATAAAACGGGAGCCTTGAAACGACAAGTTATATGATATGTTCTGTGCATAATGATTCATAGCCGATTCGACTGACGTAATCGCATCTACGTACTACGGGACTACTGACTGCTACAGAAAAACGTGTCGATCCTCTCATACTGTTTAGGCAAACACTATTCCAGTGGAGCCAAATATGGTGATGTATGGTCGTCACTTGTCCATTCTTGCTCGCCTCGTGTCATTGTTATTCAAACAACTCGATTACATTTAAGAATGACAAAAAATATATGTAGATAAATTGAGAACAATATGCCGATAAATTTACCGTTATTCTGGACGTCTAATAAAACTAATGAAAATCGTTACGACAATATTCTATAATCTTTCAATATATTCATGCACATTGCAATTAATTCTAATTTATCGTTTTATTAAACGTTCTTTTATTAATTGATTCTTCTGAAAAATTATTTTGATAATATAAAATATTTTGTCAGTTAAAAAGATAAATTTTTTTGTTGTAAATAAAAGAACAATGTAACATTCTCGCTGCTCAGTATCCAATCTAAAATTAAGACTTGGAGGAAAAGATTTTTTCTTGTTTTTTAAATTAGATAGTACATCTTCACTTCCATTTAGTAGAAAATTTAGCAGAATTAAACACGTAATAATTATTAAAGGTGGTCTCACTAAATTTATTATCTAATGGTTACAAACTGGTTACAAATTTTATTATAGTCATGACAAGATATATACAATGCTAGTGACAAAATGTTTCGTGTAACACACATAATATATTATATATATATTAGCACAAACAAAATAGTATGAAAATTGTAAACAAAAGCATCATCTTTAATTCTATTGTGATTCAAATTAAATTGGCGCGCAAAAGCATTAATATCATGTACGGTATGTGATTGGTTTATTGTTAGAAATATTTTGATTCGATACTTTGCTTTTCCATTAAATTAGCCGAATTCTATTGGTTCACGCTCGAGCTCCCCACCCTATCGTATTATTTCGCGACGCGAATCTATGCGCGGGGGTTAGTTTAGTGTGAAAGATGTGAACATGTATCGTTTTGCGTGGTGTTTAATAATTGCGCAATGTTTTCATCGTTATCCTTTCGTCTTCACGGTATTAACATTTTTATATATGTTTCTATGCAATAATTTATCAAATACTACTATAACTGATCAGTAAATTATCTTTTTGTCTTTGATTGTCTTTTCTTGTTGTCACATTTACTGATAGTTCATATGAATTTTTGAAACGGCATTCACCTTGATTATCGTTTCATTTTCTTTTATTTCTTTTATTTATCTAAAAGTTCTGGTGTTCTTTTGTACAGATTGTTGGTTGATTGTGAAGAAAACTTCAAAATAGTTAGGGAGATACCATGGTGATTCGACAACTTTTCATGGAGATACATTAAGATTTAATTTATTTTAATGAAGGTAAGCATGTTTATACATCTGTTTTTTCTTTTTATTGGACAATTAATAATATTTATCGTATTAATTGTTTTCGGAAAGAGACGTTGTAACGGTCAGGTTTGAACAGGTTCTGCGCATCGTGTCGTTTGAATATTGCGCAGCTTCGATTTTAGTACTAATACTGCGCGCCATATTTGATTTGTAGAAAGCATATTTAAAACTCTAATAATAAACATTCAGATTTACATATTGTTTAATATGTTAATTATATATTTTATAGTTTTTATTAACATAATATTTCTTTATTTTTCATAAATTAATAATAATTAACTGGTATGTTTTTAAAAATCATATTTCTGGTGCATTTACTACTTGATCAATTTCGATCGTTTTATTTGATGTAGTACCCCAATTCCCCGTTATTTAAGCATAGAGTGCGTTAAAAACCACTGATCGTCATTTCAGACCATGGGATACGAAATCTCATAAAATGCTTGGTCTATTCATATATATCTCGCCTGTGGTATAATTCTCTATGGGATTTCATTCTTTTTTAAGCATCATTTATTCTACATTTGCATGTCAATGACCAATTAAACAATATCGATAAAAATGTGAAATATTGTCTTGTATATTATTATAATTGTAACTAAAGGTTTAATTAAATTTCTGCTGTGAAATTTAAGTTTATCTTGCCTCAATCGTGTCGGAAAAGTAGAATATGCATTCTGAATTCCTTCGTTACAAATTTTGAACATGTGCTGTCACATGTGGCTCTCCTCTGAACTAATGTTCACGATATGGCCGATAACACAAAGGAGTGACGTTCGATCGTCAAAGCAGAGCAGGAGGGGAGATTAAAGACGCAGCATGGTGGCGCTGCTAGTCAGGGTTAGTTCATTTGAAAAACGAAGCCGAGGCATCAGTCGGGTGGCAACTGTCGGCATGTGCGTGGTTCTTCGTGTCCGTTTAGCCGCGTTTTAAATCGCACACAGAACACCAATTGTATGTACACCCTAGCAGTACATGAACGAACGGCAGACAGTTCGCGAACATGTGATTTTGACAGAGAACACGGTTCGTCGACGCTCGTTACCGCGTGCGTGAAAAGTGGTTTTCCTTGCCGGATACATCGTTACCCTGTAGCAACAGCCTCATTCTAGGGGGTGGAGAATAATGTTCTGAGCCGTGAGCCACGCACATCATGGTTGCTAAGCACTTCACGCAGGGTAAGTTTCCCAACTGTTCAGTTCCTTTTATCCAGATGTTTTCTTTCGAGTATATAACTACGGTTTTTTGTGAATTTTCGTCAATCTGATGAAACGGGATAATACAGGTTTCAAAGTCGTTGCGTACTCTAGAGGTGAAAAATGTGCACACGTAATGTCCATGGTGCACCAATACAGTGCATGGTGGGTGGTGCAACTCTATAATAGCAATGATAATAATAATAGGAGCAGTGGTATACGTATTATACGACAGATCAACGAAATCGAAGGAAATCGGGAATTACAATTTTCACAATGAATTTTACATAAAAAATTCAGTGAATTTACATACAAAAAATCAACAGAAATCCGATATTTTGACAATGGGACAGCGGTTTTCATTTCATTTCATATTTAAAATATAAACAGATGTCGAAAGATTCTTCTTCTATTCAAATGAATTTTGTTAAACTACACATGATATAATGTTTGAATAAAAATCATTTAAATTAAGCAACGATATACGCGTAAATATATTTCTCCACATGAACGAAGGTATAGATATATCTATACACTAGCAAAGGGCGGGTTGAGTCGCTAGTCTGTTATTTATGGTACTTTCATGGTTTGCGACATGGTTCAGTGACATTTTTATGCAACTAAAAATAATTCAGCATCGTGTTGTCCTCTTTGCTTTTCAAGAAGCGTTCAGTGAGAGCAAGATCCCCATAATTTATTATTTTAAATTAGTTTTAGGAAATAAAATTCCACGTAGAAAATTTTTATGTTTTTGTATAAAATATGCATGAGTACGTAGCCGGTAGATGCGAGGCTCGAAGATAGTTTATAGTTGGATCACGTTTTTAAGTAAAACTCGTCAGCCTGGGTGGAGTAGCATTGACCGATTGTTCTGGGGGATAAGCTGAAGCTTGCGTGAGCCCGATGTCAAGTTCGTGGTGGCTTTTAAACCGTACACATTCGATGTCCCATCGATCGACGCACGGCGTAATCATACTCGCGCGTGCCCTTTTGAACACGCGTGTTTTTTTACGTGAAATCGAGGGGAATGAAAGCACAGAGGAAAAAAATGTTGTGGTTGAACACCCTCCCGCACGTTTCCCAAGATGGTCGACCATAACGCGTTTTTACTGTCATAACTTTATTATAGTTGTCAATACAATCAATTGTGCATATTTACTTTCACTTCAGTTTCTTTCGTATAAATTGGCCGGTTCCACTGTTATGTTGTTCGATTATCGATTAAATAATTTCCTAAATTTTTACATTTAATTGTTTTATGCAACATAATCTACAAAAGTATGCAAAATTGCAATATTTCCTCAGTTTTAAGTATATACAAAACAGATAATAAATTTATTACTTCTCGATAATTTCTATCCAGTGATATCGTACCGACGAGTGTAGAAAGAAAGCGACGAATTGTTGTGTACGGTTCGGTCACTCGTTATGGTCCGCGAAACAGTTGCCAGCGCAAGGGGTTAAACGAAGTGAAAGGAGGGTTAGTTTTTTTTTTTTTGTTATTTTTCTGTTCTTCGCGGCTGGTAACCGATTTGTACCGGTATTCCATAACCCCTTTAATTTGCAATGCGACATCTGGTGGCTCCTTGGCACGCGATAATCTTTGATATAATTGCGGGTTACCTTTAACATCAGCTCGTCACGCACGATAGGTGTAAATGTCGTTAGTAATTTTTCACGGAGGCTCGATCAACGAAGAAATTCCATGGTATGCGATGATTCTTCCGCTCCGAATCCGTCAACCCTTCCTTCATCTATGTATATCTATATATACATATATATTGACATATATATATATATACACCTGCAGTGCAGTGATACGTCCAGGGATTTCCATCTTCTACATCGCTTCTTTTGAATTCCTCTACCATGCAGGTCGATAAAGAGTGCACGTTCCTCTCTGCACACTTTCGAATCTGCATATTCGCATTTTCTTTCTTTCTTTTTCTTTTTTTTTTCTGGAAATCGAGTCTAATTCAAATCGTCAATTTTTAAAATTTTTCATCAGTCACTCGGAGAGAGTAATAATACTCGGTAAAGATAAATATTGTTTCTTTATCCAAATACCTAGAACAAAGAAACGCTTCTCTCGAACGGAAAGAAATATCACCCGGAGTCGTCGAAAGGTCGTAAAAATGTTTCACACAAAAACAACGTTTTTTTCGTGTGTCACACGATCCAGTTCTTCGCCGAGCAATACAATCTCGCCGTTCGGGCAAACACAATCAGCATTCACGGCGGTTTCATGTGTACAATATATGTGTGTATTAGCGAGGGCCACGGAGTTATCATGTCGCGTATATGATAAAACCACTTATAGTGCGAACGCACGTGTGGTGTACATGTATTTCCGATCCGAGGGTACAATGCCTCCAGTGACTCGAGGCCCAGAGAAATTAATACTACTGTGTTACACAACTTGCCCGTTTCTTCGTGGATTCGTTTCAGTTTGTTTCGTTTGTCGTCTATCTTTTTTATCGATAAAAAAAAAAAAATACAAAGCAAATTTTTAAGAATCAAACATACTTTTAAGAATTTAATTTAGTTTAAAAATAGTTTGAACATAATTGAAACGTTAATTGCAAATCAAGTCACGAGGTTACGCAATTTAGTCTGGCCTGCGTCGTTAGATAACGAGTGGAAAAAAGGTTCCTTTATCGGATGATATCAGTGAGAGTTGAAATACGTTTTTTTTCTTTCTTTTTTTAGCAATCTAAAGTTACGGTATGAAAAACTCGCGAGAAACGAAATAAAAGCACTCTTGTTTTTTTTTTTTTCTACGAGCATTGGAAGCCGCAGTACGACTAATTGGATGATGGCATTTGCTTTGTACGCGAGTCGCATTTTTATTAGGATACTCCTCTCTCGTTCAAGCGTGCATTTCACCGAAATAGCCTGTCTGAAAATAGAATGATAATTCATCATCTATCTTTTCTCAACCATATTCTGTTTAATTTCACTTCGTTAACAGTGTTAACATTTGTACATTTTCACCAATCTCTTGCAATTTTTCCGGAACAGAAATAAAATTCAGGACACTCGCCTACAAGGAAAGTGAGTTTCTCACTAAATCGTAAACGCGTAATCGATTGCCACGAGTTGTTACTCGATGTTAGAAGGCAAGTAGGTTAATTGACCACAGGATCATTTGATTACGAATCCGCAGATAAATGCATGCTTCCAAGAACATATGTAAATCAAATTCAATTTGTCCAGGCGTTTCACGCGTGTCAGTCAAATTTCGAGAGAAAAAGTTTCTTTGAAACCCGATTTATATCGCGGCTTAAATATGTAGCGCGTTTGAGAAACGTTTCCTATAGTTGTACGCAGGTATGTAGTATTATATCGTGGACATCTGTGTGAGTCACAGTCGCATCCTGGTAAAAGCAGGTTTCCTCGGAATTTCGTGCTCGTCCAATGAATCACTGGACATGAAACGTCAAAAAACGTAATATGTTTCACTCGACGAACGTAAAAAATCGCGCGCTTCTCAGATTTTATTGGCTATTACTATCGAAACGAGATTCATTCGTTGAACGTGTGCGAATTATTATTTAAGCAGCTCTTCGACGTTTCGCATCTGTGGAAAAGAAGGAAATTGTGGACATGTCGTTTTATGGACCTACGTGTAACGTAGTATTATAATGTTTACTTAAAAGTATTATAATGTAAAACTTATTAAGGGAGCACTTGTTTCTGAAGCGATAATGAGACGGAGTCTAGGGTAGAGGAGATTTGTTTTAATTATTAAATATAACATCGAGAACCATATTTTGAATATTTTGGATATTTTCGTGCGTAAAACTATGAATCTTCTAGTTTACTAATTTTTTAATTCTATGCTTTTCGATGAAGCCGATCCAAACCATTTGTTTTCGATCTTCCGCTTCGATTTTAACCAGTTGCGCTGGCAACTGATTGCGGACCATAACGAGTGACCGAAACGCGAACCAGTTACTGGCGCAAACAGGTCAAATCGATCGAGATATCAAAATTATTTTGTACTTGTGCATTTCGTTTCGAAATCTCCACTTCATTTCACTATTTTTTTTTTTTTTTTTCAAACATTTCTTAGCGATTTCTTGCACTGATTTCTATTGTATTCTTTTCTATCGTACTGATACTTCTTCGACTGTCCTTTCGTCTCCTTCTACTTTCTTTTCCTTCATCGACGTCATGCTCTTTGGAATGTTCCTGTTCTAGACCAAGTTAATGGCCGTTTAAGCTTTCTCCACGTCACGAAATTCACTTTTCGACTAATGAGAATTACGTGTCACAGGGGCGTCAGAATTTTAGAGATACTCAGGCATGGCCAGAAAAAGAAAAAAATTAGAAACCACTATATATCGATCAAGAGTATGAGAAAACACACACACACACACACACACACACACGTACCTGCGTACATTTAGTAGAATACCTAAGTGTTTTTCGACCGAGTTAACAAACACGCGGACGTTTTGTATATGATAATGCAGCGAGTTAATTATTTCCTCTCGTTGTTACGTGCCGTTGACCTCCCTGAGAACTCTTTGAGGACTCCGCTGTCGTTGCACGAAAGCTTCGGGCCTCGATCGAGACAGCGTGAAGTTTTCTTGAGAAGGTGCCGTACCGTAAAAAGAGAGACACACCGTACGTATACGCAGCGGGAAAGGACAAACGAAGGAACAAAAGCGGGAGAAAATTAAATAAGCCTCGTCGGCTCCTAGGGAGAAACGTAAATATGTGATGAAGGGAACCTGCAATTATCGAACGATTTCGATCGTTGTTAATTGAATAAAAACGGAGGAACGGAGGTTTGGCGATGTTGAAGCTGGTTAAAATCGTTCTGCATTGCCGCGTAACAACGAAGCGATTTTGTCTTGTCCGATTTTTATTGCGCTCTCGTTCGAATTTTTATGCACACGCGTAAAATCGTTGGCGATACTTGTACACGCGACAGCGGTTGTATAATACGTGTTTCATCGTATATTCATACCTCT